CAAACACCAGATGTGTCCATCCATTCTTCTCAGTCAAGTACCCCCATTGCACAACTTTGATTTCAAAAAGACCTCGCCACAATTAATTGGTCCCTCACACAATGCTTGCTATATTTCAGGTTAATCTAAGGCATGCATAGGCTACATGGTCTGTCCAGATAATTGTTCCATAATCCACAGCGACAGCGTGACTCCTCTTACAAGGTTATTTTGTTGACTCATGATTCGTTCATAATATCTTCCGCACCATTTATCAAAACAAGCCTCAATGTCTTGCCTTCTACAAATTCCCCTTTGCATTTTTAAACAGCTTTTGCATAGTACACAACAGCCAATTGCTCTAGGTGAAATGTGGAGATATGTGTGAGGGAACGTACTTCTCACGTACACTGATGTTGACCAAAAATAAAGGTCTCTACAGATCCCGCTTTTGTATCATGCCTGTTACATAAGAAAAAATTTCCATCTGTTGCCGCTGTTGTATTATGCCTGCTAACTAAACACTTTGCATTTCCATGCTTGCCCACTATGTATTACGCCGCTGCATCTTTTAGTGGTTTATAACAGATTCATTGTCACCCTATTACGTTTGTGAATTATCCTAACCACCCTACTAAATGGCTCACTGCTTATATGATAACACTTCACTATGACAAAGCCTATTTTTGCTGCAATAGGTACACTAACTACTAAATGTTGATATAATGTTACATGCTACATACTTCAAAATCTTCCTTATATTGTCCTTCAATTTGCAAATATATGTATCCATCGATTTTTCGTCAACTAAACTACATACTTCAAAATCTTCCTGCATAGTTCCAGCTCTTCAGTGATGTCTTCTTCCTCAACCTACTCATCAGTTTGATGGAACATATCGCTCGACAGGTGCACAACTTCGCCAAACATTGAAAGTTCTTTCACCCATGCTGAAATGAGTATCCATGTCCAACTGAGACAGCCCTGTACTATGCTAACATTATCCTACGACGGGCTCAAATGATGACCCATATATGTAACTAATGTTACTGATCTTTTTGTTTCATGTGTATAATATGATGTGCTATAATTCCGCCTTGCTGGCCCGTGCGAAGCACGGGGGTACCTGCTAGTTTCTTTCATATTTAGTGAAGTAATTTTTCTAACCAATATAGGGAAACCATTTAGGTGAACTTTGCAAGGAACAATAGAAAGAAAGAAATGATTCTAGAATGAATCAAGCAAGTGGTGTCACCGTGACTTTCTATCTTTGCATTATTTAGTTGGGTGTAACTTTGCAGCTTCAAAGATTTCCCTACTGAGTACTTCTATTATGTCAATCACAATTGCCTACTGCTGTCCATTGTCCCTGTACTTGCATTTATCTTCCTGTTTTAATATAAATTGTGTGGTTTTAACGGTTACTTTATGGATCTAGTTATTTCCTCAAATTTCATTACATCTGTTATTTTACATTTTCCTTCATTTGTCTTGCTGCTTTACTACAAATTTGTGTGGTAATAGATGTGTATATTGATTCAGGTCTATTCCCAAATTCTATTACAGCTGGAATTAGCTCGTAAGTCACCAAGTCTGCTAAATTTGTGTGGTAATAGATGTCTAGTGTCATGTTGAATATTGTTGGTTTTTTCTGCTTGTAGTGACAGGCTCTGCTTGTTATGTAGAAATGCAAATAAATTGATTGATAATACCATTGAAGGATATGCTGCTTTGGCCATGATAATTTGCCTCTTGCTCGAATGATGCAAAGAATTGTTTCTTTACAATATAATAGTATTGTGTGTTTCTGCAACTTATTGCTTAGCCAAACAGGATAAAAAGTCGTATGACATACCTGCATGTTTTGATCTGTCCTGTGATTTATTTAGTGAAATTTGCTAACCAATATTCACTTAAATTTTTTTTTATCTAGATCATTCAAACACAATTGAATATGCCAACAATTGGAAAGTGTGATTCTTTTAGTTAGCATTTGCATAGTACATTTTTCCTCTTCATTGTTTCTTTTCAGATAACAGATAGGGGTCATGGGCGTTGTTTGCTGGGCTGTTGGCTGGAACTTGGCGCTAGCTGTTGGCTACTGGCTGGAACTTGTTTGGTGCAAGAACTTGGCTCTAGGTGCTGGCTGGAACTTGACGCTAGCTGCTAGAATTTGTTTAGTTGGCTGGATCATTTTGTGTTCATGTTTTTGTTGTAATTTTGTATGAAAACATGTATTCTGGAACATGCGCCTTTGTATGGTCGTTATGATATTATGGAATTGGTTATATGGTTTATTATTGTTTCAATTGGGTCAGCCCATAATATGGGCCTGGGCTGGAAATGTTGGGCTCACAATATTTGACGTTACCCTATTGTCATAATAACCTGTCCTCCCACGTACCATTTGTGACGGTTCGTACATTATGTGATGCGTTGACTAAACAATATGTGACAGTTATAGTCGTCATAAAAGGTAACAATAGGTGACGATAGAACGTTACCGTCACAAAAGGTCTTGACATTTTGTGACGGTGGCCCATAAAATCGTCACGAGGTACATTATGTGACGGTCGTTATATGACGACCGGCGTGACGCTGCTTTTTCGTCATAAAGTACTTTTTATGACAATTTCTGTACTTTACATGATAGTTCCGGTTTGTCATACAAGCCCCGATTTTTTGTAGTGCATGTAAATCACAAAGCACTTGAGGGTACTAGGAATAGCAAAGCACTATGAGGAGTAGACACTGTCTGCCTTTTCTAATGGCTAGCAGGGGCTTCACCACTTGTACAAGTGCTTCCCCTAGCTCATTTGGAGCTATTCTTCCCACCAATAGTGAAAACACTTATAGATGGAGATTGTGTAGAGTGGGAGAGCTATCCAGCCAAAACTTAAAGAGTGAGACAGTTAGCCTTGTGCTACCATGTTCTTGTAATGATTTCTTTGAGTTGCTACATGAAGACTTGTTACTCTTGTTGATTGCCATCACCTAAACGACCCAGTAAATGAGTTGGTGACCTTCTTTGGTGGGGTTCTTTTTGAGGAGCCTCCAAAAGGTTTACATGATCTTGAAGACCACCATTCCCGAGTGGAAAAGGGGCATTGGCTAGTGGAAGGGAGTTTAACCTCAGTCCTGCTAACTCATTAGTGCCCCAACGTAAAGGGTTATGTCAACAACCCGATACCATGAAAAAACATGTTTGTCTCCTTGCCTTTGTTTGTTCTTACATTACTTCTTCTTCGAACTATCTAAGCTTTAGCTTGTCATTTGCAAGTCTTATTGAGTGACCGTGGTGGAGTGAACTTAGCATAGGTTTAGTTCTTGCTCTTAAGGACATTAATCTTTGTGTGAGCTAGATTAAGGAGTTATTTAGCTTGATGGTTTTACATTTTAGAGCCAGGTTCAACCATCCCTATTGGATCATTCTACCCTTACAACGATCAGTAGGGACACCTCTGTGAATCCGGCAATATAAATATCATTTATAGAAGCGGGCCTCTTAATGCCTACCACAAGTAAATACCCCAATAGCGCATGCATGCAAGAAAAACATGGTTCCAAATAGCCTGCTATAGCATAGCTATAACTCCGCTATAACTTTTTGATAGGCTACCATTGTAATATTGTCAATTGTTCTATTATTGTCGCTATTGACGTTTTAGCTCCGCTAGACACCTCTATATGGCTTAGCCATGAAATAATTTTGCCACAACTAATCCTGACCGAGGCAAATACTCATCCCTTATTGTAGAGGGCTATAATCTATGCCTATCCGTTATGTTTCTTATTCAATAAACGGTGTAATAAACAATTGAATTGTAATGCTGAATGAACATGAACATTATTTGTAGTTGTGAGTATGTTAATTTATTAGTGAATGTTAAACAATGGACATGGAGACATGTTCTCCTATAGCCTATATATGTATTTTAAGTATTTGTGTTCATGAAATTTTCTTAGTTAAATATTTGCATGCATAACTACTTAAGATTTTTTTATGTTTATATAAAACCATTAAATTAAATAGCTTATGATATACTCCCTCTGTCCCTAAATAAATCAATTTCTAGAGTTGTCTAAAGTCAATTTTTTCAAGTTTGACCAAATTTATAGAAAAGAGCACCAAGATTTATGACACCAAATTACATCATAAATTATATTTTCATAATATGCTTATTTGGTATCACAAATAGGTGTAATTTTTTTCTACAAATCCAGTCAAATATAAAAGAAATTGATTTGGGACAACGCTATGAATTGATTTATTTAGTGATGGAGGGAGTATTCCATTCAAGATTTTTATAGCTCCTGGTAGTCACAGCTAAATATCTTTGTCCGCTATTTAAAACCCTACAGAAAATGAAATGGCTTGTAACTAGAGCCTCAACTAACGTTAAATTGACATGAATTTAAATTTAGGAAGTACTGTTTATCCAAGATTCACTATTGCAGATACTCATATGTTTTATTTTCTTCTCATACAGTTATTGTATCTAATAATAATAAGTATAAATTGATTGAGAAAACTAATAATAAACGTAAACCTACAGAATCAGTACTCCCTCTGTTTTGAAATAATATTTCCTAATCGTCATTTGTTAAAAAAACGTAGTGGGCAGCGTATTACTAGCCCGACTAGTTGCTATGAATCAGGCACTGTTCTGAAGAAGACATCTAAAGATAAATAAATAAGGGGAAAGGAACAGGGGTGTATGGCTAGGGAGAACAGGAATCCTCTGTTTCTGCCAAATATTTGCGCAGAGGGAAATTATGACAATACATATTGCTACTGAGAACTCAAGAATTTACATATAGAGTTATAGCCACACTTGCTATGAGGCTCCGCCACAAGCATCATAATCTCCACTTCCCAATATGAATTCCTACTCAGATGAGCTTACATGGAGAAGCCATCTGGCATTGCATAAAACGTGGCAAAAGAATTATATGTACTGTCAGGAAAAGTTTCTGCTGCTGGCAAATAAGATGAAATTATGTACCTTCTTTACTCACACTTAGCCGCCATCCTTGCCAGCTGCAGGTTTGTTCTGCTTCATCTTGGCGATGCTCAAAAGATCGCCAAAGAGTGAATCCTCAGGTCTGCTCTGCTTATTTGCTGTTGTTCCATTTGGATCACCGTTTTGAACTGAAAGACCATTCATCCTCTGGGCAAGCTCGTTTGCACTAGCATACACATATGCAGCATTTGGAATATAGTAGCCCCCAGATTGCTGACCATATCCATAACAAGACATATGAAAACCGTAAAGCTGTGGTTGGTTCATTCCATAATATCCTCCAAAGGTTGGTTGGGAATACATGCCCATTCCTTGATTCATTTGCATTGACGGATGCGTCGCCCTGTACTGCATATTCAGCATAGCCTGTGGTTGTAGAGCACCAAGCTGAGCACCAGGCACCAGTTGCAACTGCATTCTTCCTGGCTGTCCCCTTGGCATTGGTTGTGCTGACATGAATTTGTTCCCATGCTGACTGAGTTGCACTGGTTGGGGCTGCATGCCTGATGGTTGCAGTGCCATTCCACCAAGCTGATCGTCGTCAAATGGGTTAGTGGATCGCTTAATTTCCCATGGTGCTGGTGGAATATCTCCATTATGATCACCTGTGCCTGTTAACAAGCAATCGTCAAATGGTGGAGCTATCTTAAAACGGATTGGCTAAGCAAAGAACTATTGGACAAAGTGCTAGAGCTAACTATTTGATAAAAGCATTAGCCCCGCAGGGGCACCATGTTAAATGATTATAACAAGGTCTATAAGTAACACTACTGTACCTACAACACATGAAAATAACAGAGAAGAAACAATAATGTTTACTGCTTATCATGAAAAGTTCTACACCTAACTTGGACTAAGCAGTGGTTCAATAAATATTTTTTTAAACGCAATAGCAGGAGCTCTACCTTTCAATTAAGATAAGGAAAGAAAGTTTATGTACAAGCTAGGATACTCGAGATGAGGGTTTCAAACCTCCACAAGCAAGTAAAGGAGAGAAACGCACGGCCTAAAGGGGGGACACCAGCTAAACATAAGCGAGTGCTCTCTTCCTTTGCTCTATGTCTTCCTTTATCCTTGCGGCTACTTGCGGCACCGTTTCTATCTTGTTTTTGAAAATTCTCTTATTTCTCTCTTTCCAAATATTCCAAAAGGTGTAGATTACTACCCCGTTAAGCCGTCTACGCTCGGATCTTGGCACTTTCCTTGCCGCCTCTTCCCACCATGACCTGATATGGATGGGGTCTACCTGGGGTTGCTGCTGAAGTTGAGTGAAGTTTTCCCACGAGAGGATTTAATCCCAAACCGTCTTAGCAAAAGGGCAACATAGGCATAGGTGGAGACCGGTTTCTAAGGGACCGTTGCACAGCACGCATTGTTGTTGGTGTGGCCACTTTCTCTTTTGTAGGTTTTGCGCTGTTAGAATTTTATCTTGCACTAAAATCCAGGCGAAGATCTTGCATCTGTTCTCCACATGCGCTTTCCAAATCAATTCCGTACGGAAGGGGACGAGCGAGCCTTTGAATTGAATTATGTAGGCTGAGCGGGTGGAGTAAATCCCATCCTTGGTCCATCGCCCGATGACGGTGTCCTGGAAGCCCTGTTGTAGGTGCACGTCCTGTATTCGTATCAAAAGGAACACAAACTCCTCTATGTGGACAGCCGAGGTGATTTTCCTTCCGAGTTTGTGCATCCAATTGTTATTCCGGAGGTCTTGTTGCACCGTTCGGTTTCTCCTTGAAACCAGGCAAAACAAGTTCGGGGCTAGGTACCTAGGAGCTTGTCCATCAAGCCAATTATGGTGCCAAAACTTAAGTCTTTGCACCATCCCCCAAAGTTATGATGATTGAGGACTTGAAGAGGAGACGATCATCATCAGAACATGGAAGTTCTGAGCCGCTCCAAGACTTGGAGTCGTCCACCCATTCTTGCCAAAGCCAGCGCAACCGGAGGGCTCTCCCAAATCTATCGAGGTCTGGAACGCCTAAACCACCAAGGTCTTTTGGTCTAGTAACTGTTGGCCAGTTAACCAGGCAGTGTCCGCCATTGGCATTCTTCTCCCCCTTCCACAAGAAATCCCCCTTCCACAAGAAAGATCTCCTGATTTTGTCGATCTTTTTCTTAGCCCATGCCGCCAAAGGAAATACAGTTAGGTGGTAGGTTGGCATGGAGGAGAGGACAGAGGTTACTAGAGTGAGGCGTCCCGCTTTGTTTAGCCATCTACCTTTTCATTTGGGTAACCTTTGTCCAATACGGTCTATGAGAGGTTGCACATGGACTTTTTGCAGTGATCTGATGTGGAGTTGCAGGCCCAAATATTTGCATGGGAAGCCCCCTCTAGTACCGGTGAAAGGTGATAGGACTTGGTCTAGGTCGACGTTTGCACAACTGATTGGATGAACTGAGCTCTTTGGTAGATTGATATGGAGTCCCGAGAATGTGCCAAAAGCCTGTAGGATGATTTTGATGGCTTCTACATCGTCTTTTGTTGGGATGATGAAAATATCCGCATCGTCTGCATACATAGAGGTTCTCCATTTTGCCGCCGTGATGGATAAGGGGGTGAGTATCCCATGTTGGGTTGCTTGGTCAAGCAAACGTTGAAGCGGGTCCATAGCTAGGATGAATAGCATGGGTGAAAGCGGATCTCCCTGCCGGACGCCTCTGGCATGGCTAAAAGTGGCCCCCTGCCGCCCATTAAGCAAGGGTGTCGAGGTGGATGTACGTAGGAGGATAGAGATCCATTCATGCCATCGAGGTCCGAAGCCCAGAGCCTACAGAATCTCAAGCAAGTACCCCCAATGCACCGTATCAAAAGCTTTGTGGATGTCTAGTTTCATGAATAAAGCTGGTATCTTCTGCTTGTGTAGCCTTTGTACCGTGCCCTGGACGTCAAGAAAATTATCATGGATGCTTCTCTTTTTTATAAATGCGCTCTGGCAGTTGGAGACCAGGGAGTTCAGTCGAGGGGCAAGTCTGTTAGCTAACACTTTGGAGAAGATCTTTGCAATGCTATGGACGAGGCTGATGGGTCTGAAATCTGTAACTCTTGTTGCATTCTTTTTTTTGGGTAGAAGGATGATGCAAGCCGAGTTTAGCCATTCAAAACCCTGGGCATTCAATGTGAACAGGCTGTTCATGGCTACCATCACATCATCTTTAATGATTTCCCAACAAGCTTTGAAGAAGGCACCCGTGAAGCATCTGGGCCTAGCGCTTTGTCGGAAGGCATGGAATATATAGTATTTTTTACCTCATCATGGGAGAAAGGCACCTCCAGATCGGAGAGATCATGTTGATTGTAGCCAAGGGATTGCCAATTGACTGTCGAAGTTCTCGAAATCGTGGAGCCAATGTGATTTTTAAAATAATCTCGTATTACCTTTTCTTTCTCTTGATGAGCCACTGCAATCCCCCCATCCGTATGTAGACAATGTATGTAATTCTTTCACCGACGTGCATTGGCTCTACTGTGGAAAAATTTGGTGTTAGCATCTCCACACCGGATGTATGTGAGCCTCGATCTCTGTCTGATTCTTGATTTTTCAATGGCTGCTAGTCCAGTGCTACGGGCTTTGAGGCAGCGATATAGGTGAAGCTCCATGCCAGTGAGCAACCTATGCTCTTGGGCTGCTTCTAATTGTAACAATACTTCTTTCACTATGGCGAGCTGCAGCCTCGTATCCCCTATCTTGTCTTTCTTCCAACGCTTGATTTCTTTTGCCACACGCGCCATTTTGATATGCAAGCGTTTCATAGGAAGAGCAGAGGCGACCGGCCTATTCCAAATGTTTTGGACAAGATCTTGGAAGCCTTCCACCTTAGTCCAGTAATTTTCGAAGCGGAAGGACGTGCTCTGATGGTGGTCAAGCTCTCCCTGGAGTAGCAGCGGGGTATGGTCCGACATGAGCGATGGAAGGGAGTGTAAGAAACACGCGGGGAGGAACAGTTCCCACTCGGGGGTACATAGTAGTCTATCAATTCTAGTGAGAGTCGGGTTCTCCTATTGATTGCTCCAAGTGACGCGGCGTCCATTGAGCTTGATTTCTTTGAGCCTCAAATGATCGATCGTCGCTCTAAATGCCCCCATGAGGCATCGGTTTAGATTGGAGTTGTTCTTGTCTTCTGCCTGGTAGATGAGATTGAAATCTCCGAGGATGAGCCATCTATTGTGTTCCGGCGGCGGAATGTTCTTCAATTTTTGGAGGAATTGAAGTTTGGCTGCCTCTCCTTGCGGGCCATATACCACTGTAATTTGCCACCTTGTTCCATCCTCCCTCATGTTGATTTGCGCGGTTATAGTGTTCGAGGTAAGTACAATGTCGGAGAGGTCGAAGAAGTCTTCATTCACAGCAAGGAAAACGCCTCCTCGAGTCTGTTCCGCCGGTAGCACAACATAGGAGTTCACAAATTTCGCTCCTACTGTTCGGCGCACCACATTATGGTCCATAACTTGCATCTTCGTTTCTTGTAGACATACGATGGTGGCACTAGTGTTTCTCACTAGCTCGCTCACCGAGTCTTGGCGGGTGCCATCATTCAATCCCCTGACGTTCCAGTTAAATATTTGACAGTTCAGCTGTTCCATAAGGAAACCAATGGACCCCTATTTAAGATTAATCTGTGGACGGAGGCAAGCAGGAAGCCATCTGGGGATGTGGTACTGGCAGCAAGAACAAAGATAAACACACAGAGACACATGGTCATGAAAGCAGCAAACTGGAGTCGCTGATACATCTGAATGCCAGTGGCTGTCAGCGCAGTGATACAATGCAAGAGTTTGTTGCACACGGAGCTGATGCTACAGCGAAATACAAGATGGAGGGTACTTGCAGTGTGGTGGGGAGGCGACTGTAGGCCTCTGGCTGTCGCCCCACCCAAGCACCATGACTGGACGCTCTCAAAAGATGTGGAACTCCTGGAGCTACTGGAGTGGTGATCGGTTACTAACATTAGTACATTGATCTACCCAACTGCATCAGCAGCAAACTAAGCGTGCGGAGTGGGAAGCGCTGCCGCAGCGTCGAGGCCACACAGTGCCGTTAGAGCCTTCACGGCGTCATCGGTGAGTGGTCCCTTGAACAAGCTGAAGTAGCGCAGCAATGCTTCGTCGTGGCTGAGTCCTTCCACTGCCAAGCCTTTTCATGAGCACCTGCCTGGCCTTCGCCTGAGTAGGTTCAATAAATATGTCTATTAGTTATAGATCTTTCCCCAACTTCTGATAAATAGATCCAGGAAAACATTATAGAACTAGCACACACTAGGAAAGAAATCTAGTACCATAATTTAGTGCTTGCTTTTGGTGATGTGTTCCATAAGCTGGCTGCCCATTCCAAGAATCTGTAGAGTTCAACTGGGACTGCTGATCATAAGGTACAATGGCATTGGATCTGGCCCCATTTGGATAAGCAGCTGGATGCTGAGGCAACACAGGTTGCACAGGTGCAGGATATGTTTGTTATGTGGAGATAGTAGAATTTGAAGTCCAAGAGTGAAAAGAATTTGGAATGTTTTGGTTGCTATTGTTGGCAGTATTTTGTTCAAACATATCGGCAAAGGCTAAGACATTCTTATCTGAAGCTGAATATTCAGTGACAGGAACGAGTGCTAGAGAGTTTGCAGGTTCGGGTTTGATATAATCATCTCCGCTAAGAAGGTCGATACTAGAAGCTGGTGTTACTGGTGCTTTTGAACTACTGGATGGGGGCGCGGGAAGTGCTAAAATCCCAAAGGGAGACTGGTTGGTGGCACTTGTACTTGCTGAAGACCTGAAATACGCAGAAAGCAAAAGTTTTAAGTGAGGAAAAACTGAACCAGGTTTGTTCACTATACGTAGGATTACTGCAGATAAAAACAATCAAATAATTTTGCATCCAGGTCCAAGCAGGGCTCAGAAGACCTGTGGAAACGTTGTTTAAATCGAGATTTTGATTTATACCCTTTTTTCCTTGCAGGACAGGTGTGTGCCATTGTATTAAGCAGGAGAAAAACAAAGTCCAGCAAAAAGGTACTCCCCACAAGGGAAGAGCACAACAAAAGAAAATTAAACATCAAGATAGGATTATGCTCTTATGTGGACCAGGTGTCTTAGGTGCTAGTCAGATATGTTCCAGAATCCAGATAGGATTATATAAACTTAAATAAAAAATGTTTGTTCCAAATATCCAGATTTTGCCTGGTAAACAGTTTCATGAATGCAGGTTCTAAGGGCTTGTGTGAATCCAAATACATGTGTCTCATGTCTAGTAGAATCTTATGAAATGATTTAAACAGAATGCTTAATATGATATTTCAACCTTTGAATTGGTTCTTCCATGGTATCTGGCTTTCTTGTTGAAGAACTTTCAATTTGGGACTGCAGAGACTTTGGCTTTTCCACCCGAACTGCTACTCCTGCATTAATAGCATCATGTTTTGCAAGAACACGCTGCATATCATCATTCAAAGAAAGACCCTGGCTGAGCAACTCCTCATTCCTGAACATGGCATCAATGCAAAAGTCATTAAAAGAAGAAAATTTGACATTGGCTACATGGTTTGCAATACATGAAGTTGGCTCATTTACACTGAAAAAGAAAGGACAAATACTGCACAATATTAAATGTGGTGCTACTGAAATGTCAGCATGAAACATGTAAAGCTGTCACTATATTCTCTTTCAGATACTGTTCATGTCATCATAAAACTAGAAAAGAGTCATCAAGGGAACTTACGAGGTACTGTTGACAAGCTGCACTACTCTTTGCTTGTAAGAACGGCATTGATCCACAAGGTCAGCAATGACATCCTGTCTAAGCCCCTGAAATCTGGCACTGTAAGTAGATTGATTTGAAATCTTGCACCGCAAGTACAATTTAGAAATATTGCACTGCAAGTAGATTTTTTGAAACAAAATTTTGAGAAATGAAGAAGATGGTCACCAGCGGTTCTTCTTTCTTATTATAAAGCATAATTAATTTTCTGATGGCGCAAAAGCTACAGGTGCATCAGGAAAGTACCTCTATGTTACCCGGATCTAAAGCATCCAGCATCTCTGACAGAACATCCATGATGCTACGTGCGTTCTGAATTTCTGTAAGGCTGGTGAAATAACCGCATTCATTTCCAAACTTGCATACTAATCACAGGCTAAATAAGCTAACCAATGACAACGGAGAGTTCAAAAACATCTAAAACATGAAATAAATAGAAAGCAATCACTACACCAAAGAACCTTAATAAGCGTCAAACTGAGAAAAACTAACATGAAAAAAGGAGGGCAACAAATCTGAGCATCAGAATGTAAACACTTCATAATATTCTCAGCATATTCACTAAACACTGTACATGAGTATAATTTAGGTTGTTAACCATAGCAACATGGTAAAAATATTTTCAAGCCACCTAATCGAGCCTAGTCATACGGGTACCGATAAACTGACTAATCATCAACCAGGTGGCAAATCAGCTAGTCAAGAAGTTGTTCTGCCTACTTTCGCTGCTACCCAGGATGTATATATATTATATAGTATAACTGCATAGTATTAAGTAGTTAATGGTAAGTACTAAGCGGTTAAGTACTGCTACTAGACTATAGCACCAGCGCACAACTGCACAAAGAAATTATCATAAATTGGCAAACAAAGCAAATATTAAGCATGGTCAATCACTTGTGGACCAAGAACAAAAGGCCCGGTGCCCAGGTGTCACCAAGCCCAGTTGGCCAGCTCAAAATTCTCTCCAATCTAGTCGTCCCTAAGCTAATCAGAAGTTAATCGAGAATTCATGATTAGTCACTGATTAGTTATCACACTAGTTGCAGCGGAGTGCCAAATCAAGGTCCATGGACCAATTTTCATAAAAAAAAGGTCCATGGACCAATAAGCCTGATTAATCGCAACTAATAATTCAAACAACTTAATAACATTGCATGCTAAAGCAAAGACTCCACACTAACTTTTTGTGATGATCATCAATAATTTTAATGACATCATGATAAACACGTATGCAACATCATATTTGCATAAGATAAATTAAAGAAAACTTGGCATCATATTTACTTTAGTTCAGTAGTTAAACATGCCAGTTATATTATATATATATTTTTTAAATGTATACCTTAATGCAGGGAAATCTGAAACTGGCAATTCAAGTTCCTCCTGCTGTGAAATGCGTAAAGATGAGGGATAGTTTTGTAGAGGCTGAGTCTGTGGAGGAGTAATGATTGGCACAGAACCATTCGATCTTTGAGGAAATACGGCTCCAGCACGCTAGCATATGTATGAACAATGGAGAAATTGAATCAGTTCTAGAAATGATCGATATTCAACTACTAATTTGGAATTATAACCATATAACTGCATGCTTAACAATTGTGAAAATTAAATGAGTGATGAAAAATGTCAGTATTTTCTGCAATTCTGTTTTTGGAGCTTGGAAGACAATGGCCATTGGGAGAAAGTACTTCTAAAAATGAGAGATCAATACAATATTACAATATGCTTTATATGTATAGAATAATACCAAGAGCTCCTCATATGCTGCATAATATTGTGGATATCTTGCACGTGCACCGCCAAAAACTTCTTGCCAACTATCTATCAGCATGAGAATCTTCTCTTTAACATGATAATCATGCTAAAAAAATCAAAAGAGAACGCATTAAGGATTTGTTATTGACAATCAGTAAATTAAGGTTTAAACTGTACGCACATACCCTTTTCTTTACTATCTTGACCATCTCATGAAGTATGTCTCTCTCAGCAGCAAGCATATGCACAATGTCCCCACAATTTTTTATCATCGTCTCCAGCAATTGAAATAAGTCGAACAATGCTGTAATTCAGTAGAGGGTTATTTAAATGTGGTCAACAATTTCCAGCAGGGCTTGGACCAGACCATTTCAAGGTCTCCTACTATATTATGTCCTAAGCAAAGCTTGCCAGGTTTTGATTACTATTCACCCCTGAATCCTGATAGTACCAGCATCAGCTAAATCCTCCTAACTGTCTCTTTAATCTTCCTGTTTTGAGGCACATAGTACATGTAGATAAATGGAAAGTTTTCCAATGGCCACTGGGAGGACAGTGCAGCAGGGGATTGACCAGTGGAAATTCCAATTGCCAATAGTTGGAATGAGACAATCTTTTAATTTATTTTGGCTAGAATAGAGTTTTTCCACCTTTAAAGTCCACAAATGACCTTACAATTTTTCACCTTTTCTCCTTTATTATATAAACAGTGCAGTAGGGGATTCATTCCTCTCCTGTTTTAGCTAATACAATTATGTTATTTCACAACTCAACTGTATGCAGGGGCAATTAGTCTTTCAAGGAGCATGTCATTTGTAAGTACAGATAACATGAAGGGTCAAGCACATTAACAAGGACCAATCAATGAATCCTACCAACAAACAGTCCATGAATTGAAGTCATGTAGTAGCAAGGGATTTGAAAATCACATTTACCGTGAGAACAAGAAGCTGGACCTTTGGGTTCTTGTGTGCAATGCGTTGCTTGAGGGACTTCACCACATCTTTTGCTTGCCTAAGAATATGACAATACAAAAATGTTTACTAGAAGGTGATCATGGCACGCCAATACTTCACAGGAATGCAGAACGACCAGAAGACAACAATGCAGTTCTAGTTTCATGAAAAACTGGGTCAATTCTTTTTCTTCGAATAATATATGCAACAACGTTCTTGCCGCCCTTTCTAGAACAAAGATCTAGTTTCATGGAAGCAAGTTTTTCATATATTTTGATATAATTAGAGCAAGTTCCAAGAACAATTAGATATTCTCTTTATACTTCAAATGTAAAGTAATATTCGAATTAACAGAGATTCCATCAGCATGTCGTGGCACAAAAGTGAAAAGAATAGTTCACAAGGTGGAAAAACAAAAACAGACATTAAGTGACAGCAGAAAGAAGCCAATTTTCAAGAATTACAAGCAGCATCAAGCAAGACCTGAGACTGTAGCAATAAGTATAGCTTTTATAAGGATTCCTCCATTAAGGATCATAGAACCAAAATATTTATGAAGCAACCCTGAAATTGAAAACTATGAGCAGAGCTCCTTCCCTCTCTTTCTTTAATTCTCAACTCTTACTAGCATAATTCTCAACTCTTACTAGCATAAAAGATAGGGAGAATTGTGTTCTTGCCCTTGTTCTGTACTCTAATTGTGATTTTGCCCCTATTTTTTTAACTTTGTGTTTTTGCCCTTGTTATTTTGAACTGAAGTGTCCGTTTGCCCCTGCTTTGGACGTCCGTCAGATGCTCTGAATTAAAAAAATTCCAAACCTGAAAAGAAAAGTGCAAATGCCCAGACTGCCCCTTATCCTTTCTGGCTGTTTCTCGACTCCACAAGACACCGACCGCATCGGAGAGGGAGGGAGCGGGTGGCGCGGTTCCAGGCGGCGGAGCGTGTGGCGTGGGTGCGGCGGCTCGAAGCAGCGTCGGCATCAGGGCGGGTGGAGCAGGTGCGGCATCGGGGCGACGTGGGCGCGGAGCGGGCCGGGGCGCAGGGGCAGGCGGAGCGGCATCAGGGCGGGCGGAGCGGGCAGCTCCGGTGCCTGGACGCGGCTCCCGGCGACGCCTGGCCGCGGGTCTCCGCGGCGCCCATCTGCGGCTCCCGACGGGTGAGCGACCACGCCCGCCTTGAATCGAATCCTTCCTTATTCTTGCTCCCCTTGCTTCCGACAGAATCTCGATTTGTATCCTTCCAGTGCTGAATCGCTCGCTCCGCGCTACGTGGCTGGTTGATCTGCTCTGCTCCCAGTGTCCGGTTTCATGTGGCTGTCTGATTTTTCTCGATTGCGTTCTCGTCCTTTGGTTTTCCGATCCAAGGTGGCCTAGCTCCGCTATGCTTAATAATCTGCTCACGTAGAGATTTGCTCGTTGCCGCAGGTGCGAGCATTACCGGCGAAGATCAAACAAGTGCATGTTTGATGTTCCAATTGTTGTTGTCAGCTTAAACTTCTTCACTAGTCCTTCTTCCTTAGCTACATTCATATTTCCCTGACTTAATTGGAGCTCAATGTAAATGTCTTCATTATCGCCATGCGCTGTGAAATCCTGTAAAATAGTTGCAATTGAGGAAAAGTGTTTATGATATATGATGGTGCAAACATTATGAATACTTTTGTTAGTCTTAGATATTGACTGTGTTCATTTTGGTGCGAGATAGCCGCGTGGCTTAGTTCTGCTATGTGGATGGCGCCGACGACAGCTTAACGCACGAGATCTGTCAAATCGACCAACATGGAAGAGCAAAGGTGGTTTCAGCAAACCCTAACCATTATCTACTGTTGGGTTTTTTTTGCCAGAGTGAGTGCATTGTTGATGGTTTGAGTTGGATAAACTAACCGCATACTACTTCTGTGGTTTGTAGGCCAAATCACAGGGGTATACGAGTTGTAGTTAGAATTCGATCTTTTTTCAGCTTGCCAGACAATGGTCCAAAGTCATGGCAACAGGGTAAAACTTTGCCAACTAAAGTTGTTGATGACATACATAGCTTTGGGCTGCTGCAGTTGGTTGATTTCGTAGCTGAGCATTGCATGTGGGGGTCTAAGCAATACATAACCTTATGGCGTGATTTGGAAAATGATTCATTTGAGGTGAAAACTGATGAATATCTTTTAGAGTGGTTTGTACTCAATGTAGACAAGGGGGTAGCTTGCATCAATGCCCAGATAAATGATTTTGAAGGGCCACTGCAGTTTTCATCAACCAGACGTAGGTGTCATCCTAATGTGATGAGTAGAATACACCTAATTGAGGGGGGCACAAATGAGGGAGCCACCACAAATGAGGGAGCAACAAATGATGATGATGATGATGATGAGGGTGTAGGAGATGATGATGAGGGGGTAGGAGATGAGGAGGAGGTTGGAGATGATGATAAGGGGGTAGGAGATGAGGAGGAGGTTGGAGATGATGATAAGGGCATATTCTCTGACAACAGCTATGACACTGATTTAGGAGCATCTTCCGACTCTGATGATGATTGCTCTGATCCAGAGTTTGATCCTGATGGTGAAATACTTGATGATGTAGATGAGTATGATGCTCCCATGTTTTCATATGATCCTGATGATCCATGCATTGATGTAGATGTGGTGTTTCCAGATGTTGATCAGTGCAAGTCTGCAGTTACACATCACGCTATCTTGCATGACCATGCTTTTAAGGTTGTCAAAAAAGATCAAGAAAGATTCAGAGCCATATGCAAGAGAGCTGATAAGGGTTGTAAGTGGACTTTTTTCGCGTCTACAAGCAAGAAGTACGTTGGATGCAAGGTAATTTGGTCCTCTTTCCATAATATAGTGTATTGACTTGAGATGTAATTTGCTAACAAAATGTTGGATTCTCATTATTATGTTGTAGGTGAAGACAAATGGACCAAAGCACACTTGTGGTTCTTTCAACAAGTGTGGTCAGTCCATGGCCTCAAATAGATGGGTTTGTGATAGAGTTGTGGACTTACTGCGGGATGACCGTGAAATGGGTCCAAAGGGGTTGCAAGATGAGTTAAAGAAGAAGTACTCAGTGGATGTTCCATATGTAAGTGAGCCAATGTAAGTCATGGTTCTATTGGTGCTCACTTCTACTCGTGGCATAATCTGATAATATTAAAATCATGTTTCCTCTCTTTTTAGTGCAAGTGCTACTGGGAGGGGAAGGGGAAGAGGAAGAGGAAGGGGAAGGGGAAGGGGAAGGGGAAGAGGAAGAGAATCAGGAGAGGGCAGTAGTGAGCCAATGTAAGTCATGGTGCAGTTGCTACTATTGTGTAAGTAGAAGATTGTAGAAAGTATCTAAATTAACATGACATCAAGTGATTTGGACTCCTCTTTGATTCTATAAACTCTGCTGGTGCAATATCCTGTAGATCTATGCTCCAAATAGCGTATAGTTGAGATAGCAGTGTAATCACTAGTGTTTAGTAGGTCCTGCTAGCATTGAAGAGCAGTCCTTTGTCAACTTTGGCAATTTGAAATGTGCCCTTCGCTCTATAAAGTCTGGTGGTCGCTGGTATACAACTGAAGCAGCATGGATCAAGATGCGGGCAGTCAGACCCCAGATTAAGTACTTCTGGATTCCTTTCTCGTAAGTGAAGTAATGAACTGTGAATGCCTGGCCCATCTTCTCTCGCTCCTCGGATGTCCTGTTCTCATCCTGTGCCATTCATAGCAAATTGGCCATGGGATAAATGGATCTAAGGTTCAAATGAAAATGACAAAGACCTTTTGTTATTTGCAATTGTTAGTTCTGTCTGCCAACCTATCATAGTTTGCTATTCTCTACAGTAATGTAATTACACACTATCATGATCCATGCACTTATTTGTTGATGTAATCATTACTAACCAACCTGTTCAATGCTTTTTAGAGGGAGGGGAAGAGGAGGGCGAACAGGAGGAAGGCTAACTAGTTTGTTAGGTCTCTAGGTGGTCCTTGAATGAGATGGATGTAGCTTTTGTGCACATGTTTACATGGTGTAGACTTGTTTCTTTTGTTGATATGTTGATATGGTGCAGTTGCTTTTGTGGACATGTGACATGGTGTAGACCTGTAGCTTTTGTGGACATGTTTTTTTTCACAACTTGTGTGGACATGTTGACATGCTGTATGGTAGACTTTGAAATGCTGTGGTTCTCCATGATTTTTCTTATGTGTTTTATATGTGCTTCGTATTGTTGTCATGACGCTAGCAAAATATAGCAAAGTTGCTGTCAAAATTTTGAATATTTATCAATATTAAATCTGAGTTCAAATAATTGCAATTAGGCATACAATAAAAAAGTCTAATTCTAAATTAGGATAAAATCACAATTAGGCATAACAAACAGAGGCAAAATCACGTGGGTATTCATGTCCTTTTGTACAAAGTTTAACACCGTTAGGGGTGGATGACGGAGCAGGGGCAAACTGGTGCTTCGTGAATGGCACAGTAGGGGTAAATTCACAAAGTCAAAAAAAATAGAGGTAAAATCACAATTTCGATATAAAACAAATGTACAAACGCAAGAGACCCTAATTAATAATGCGTATAAAAATAAAAAAACAATGCCGGTTTCGGCTTGGCGCACACAATTCGCCCAAATGTCCAAATCCCAATCGTCCAAACATTACATAGGCCTTGTTTAGATTGGGGTTAAAAATTAGTATTTAGCACTGTAGCACTTTCGTTTGTATTTAACAATTATTGTCCAATCATGGTCTAACTAGGCTCAAAAAATTCGTCTCGTAATTTACAATCAAACTGTGTAGTTAATTATTTTTTTATCTACATTTAATACTCCATGCATGTATCAAAAGATTTGATGTGATGAAGAGAGAGTGAAAAAACTTGCAATTTAAAAAGGCCATAAGCAGAATTTATAATGGCGAGTACTACATCATTGGTCCGGACTCAACTCAAGTACCACCCCGTGGCAGTTCAAAGAAAAACTAAAAAAGAAACAAAGAAAAAGACAGCAATCGAAGGGAAGGCCGAAGGGGACGAAACGAGTCGGAGCAAAACCACCAGAACAGAGACGATCAGAAGAGTACAAGCAGCGTTGTCACAACACAATTCAGAAATCGTCGAGCTCTCTATCGTGCACGCCGAAAGACCGCCGCCTCGAACGACTCGACACGACGACCTTCGCTCCCTCCGCCACCGAATCCACCACAAAAACCACCATTTCTTGTTTTTTGTTTTCCCGTTCACCGGAGGCCGGCGGCCAAGAAGATCAAGAACAGGGGAGAAAGGAGGGATTTTGTTTGGGAGACGAGCAGGCGATTTCCTTTTGCCGCCTCGCGTTCACGTTGCCCGGCAGCTCCGGCTTCAGTGATATGCTCATCGGCCCCGACTGGGCGATGAACTTGGAGATCTGTGGTGGTGTTTGGACGGAGCGGAGATGTCGGCGGTGATGGTGGAGCGGGCAACGAGCGATATGCTCATCGGCCCCGACTGGGCGATGAACTTGGAGATCTGTGATATCCTCAACCACGAACCCGGGTGAGGACGCGCGCACAACTTCGCTTCTTAGTTTTTTTTTTCATTTCATCTGCGGTTTTTCAGTACTGATATTACTGTTTTATTGCTGAATGATGGGGTTTTGTATAATTTATTGAAAGCAGTCTCCATTTCTATCAAATGGTGGGGGGCTTTTTGTTGGGATGACTGTGAACTCTAGGGCCGATAAATTTGTGGTTTCCGATTACGATTAGCAGTATCTGTCGTCACTCGTCAGTTCATTTTGTTCTGTGAAGAGAAAACTACCTTGGGAGTGTTGGGCCCTGAATTGCTCCAGAGATAAAATTTAGATGTCGAAGTGTGTTCTGCGATCAATCCGTTCCTGCAAATTTTTCTGGGTTACTACTTATCTGTGGAA